AAATTATGAACATAGAGCTCTAAAATTGTGAACATAGAGCTTCGAAAATTATGAAGTTACAGTTATTGAATTATGAATGTACAGTTACGGAATTATGAATGTACAGTTATGGAAGTATGAATGTACAGTTATGAAATTATGAACATAGAGTAATAAAATTATGAACATATACTCCTATAACGAAGCGGTCTAAAAAAAAAGTGAAAGATAACAATGCCACTAACAGCACTGTTACCCGTGTCCAGCATGCATGCTGGACACGGGTCCATAGCATAACGATTGTTATTTAAGACCTACCCTTTTTAAGGCCTACAAATGTGTATAAAATTTAAAAAATATATGTAATACAAAACTAACCTATGTTAGGGTTTGGACGTTTGGTAATTCACACACACACACACACACACACACACACACACACACACACACACACATATATATATATATATATATATATATATATATATATATATACTAGTATTTTTTATGAGCGATGCGCAAAACTTAAAATTTTAAATTTATTTAGATTTTAGATGTTTAAATTATTGTAAATAATAATAATAATAATAATAATAATAATAATAATAATAATAATAACAATAGTGTAAACTATTTTTTATAAATTTGATATTTATATTTAATTTTAGAAAATAACTAACATATAACTTCAATATATAATGTGTATATTATTATTATTATTATTATTATTATTATTATTATTATTATTATTATTATTATTATTATTATTATTATTATTACTACTATTATTACTATTATTATTATTCTTATTATTGAAGAAGAAGATAAGAAAATATATGGTAGATAAGAAAATATATGGTAGATGCATGTTCATAGTAACAATAGTGGAAAAGATAACGGAAGTTATAACGGTAGGTGTATATTATGTTTTTAAATGTTACTGACTCTATTACAATGTAGTATATGTTCATAGAGTCAGTAACGCCTCTACTGAGGCTCAAACTCACAACCTCACATATGGGAGTCCAACCCGGGTGCCATTAGACCATAAGATCTTGGCACATATATATAATTATTTAATATTACATATATAGTTAAATAGGTCTAAGTCTGACCTATTTACTAAATATGCCATGCCATAGGCCTCTACGAAGGGTTATTTGACCCATTTCGATCCATAAAAGTAACTTATCCTTATTTGTCAAATCAGGGAGTCGGAGTAAGCGAGTAGAATTTGAAAGTATGCATAGTAGAACTCCTTGGTGAATTAGGAAAATTTTACAACATACCATGCATCAAAAGATATCATGCACATACAAATAGTGAACTTTATGCATACAAATAGTAAACATTTGATGTACTAAATGTCATATTTCTAAGTAATGGGGATGGGGTGTGCTGAATAAGTCTAGTTATGCTCTACAAATAATGAACCTAATGTATAACATAAATGAGTCTAGAATATACATGCATGTTTAATAATCAACCTTCAATCAATTTGTACATGCTCAAACAATGAACTTTATACACACAAATAGTGAACCTTATATATATAAATAATGAACTCTCAAAATATTTTTATATTATTTTGTACACATTCAAATAATGAACTTTACATATAAACATAATGCACCATATGCATAGAAATAATGTGCCCTATGCATAAAAAATAATGTATCATATGCATAAAATAATGCACTTTATGCATAGAAATAATGTACCAAATGCATGGTCCACACAAATATGTGAAGAATGATCCACCTAATAATCATGGGTGAATTATATATATGTCGGCAAATTAGGCTGTGGAACCGTGTTCACCTTGCAAGGTGGACACAGTTCCAAAACTTTTCATAATTATGAATATATAGTTCAAAATTTATGAACATATAATTCTATAATTATGAACATAGAGTTGTGAACATAATTGTGAACATATAATTCTGTAATTATGAATATAGAGATTCAATAATTGTGAATATGAAGTTCAAAAATTATGAATATATAACTTTATAATTATGAACATATAGTTCAGTAATTATGAAGATAAAGTTCTGTAATTGTGAATATAGAATTCAATAATTATGAATATGAAATAAAAAAATTATGAATATATAGTTTTATAATTATGAACATATAGTTCAGTAATTATGAATATAGAACTGTGTCTACCTTGCAAGATGGACACGGTTCCATAAAATAACGATTGTTATATGTCAACATGGGTCCATATTGTAACATAGATCTAGGTCTTTTGTTGTTTTTGAGTGATTAGGAAAACTCATAGTCACTACTTAAAAAATGTCCACTAAATAAATTTTACATCAATTGACAAAGGACCATAATGAGATAAACTTAAAGATGTCAACGAGACGGAACAGAGCGAGATGAGAAGTATATTCACGGTCTCAATCCCCGTTGCCGAAACTCTACCTTACTCCATGTTCCCGCCCCCATCCCAACCGAAGATAGGAAATCATTCTACATTCTCGTCCACATGAGAAACTTTCGAGGACGGGGATTTTGCATCCTTGGTCAAACTTAATAACTTATATACCTATGAACTGCATGGGTAGTTCAATTGGTCATAGGGATGAAGTTTGGGAAGAATGACTAGGGATCGAGTCTCACCAGCGATAGTGTGGGAGTAACCTCTCGGGCTCATTGTGCACAATAAGTAAAGGTCTAACCTCTATGATTCAGTTGAATTACCATAATTTACATTCTCTCAAATGTTCTGTCAGACCGAAGTGTGGACCTTTGGGGTTGGGGATTCAACCCAACCACTACATAGAATGAAAGTTCATATCATAAATGTTACATGCTGTCATCCTATAATACGTTCGAACTTATCCACCTACGGACCACTATATTGAATAATTATTCATATCATCAATGTTACAGGCTGTCATCTTTTAATACAAATGTAACATTGACATGACAAAAATAAATAAATAAATAAATAAATAAATATATATATATATATATATATATATATATATATATATATATATATATATATATATATATATATATATAGAGTTGAGTTTAAATGAGGACAACAATATATAGAGGACTCTGCGGACAAATAATGGGCACACAACAAATTAATACCAGGCACACAACTTAATACATAATGACACACAAGAATACATGTAAACATCAGGTTTCGAACACAGGCCCTATAAATTAACAAATCTAGCACGCGACATACAAACTGTGGCACACGATTACATTCGGCCATGCACACGACATTTCGGCTAATGGCACATGTTGGTTTTAGGGTTTTTGGGCCCAGGGAGGTCCAACACAACCTTAGTTGGTGGATTCACCTTTCACAAGAACTGTGAGTAAAGGAAAAGTAATCGAAATGGTTAAAAATGTGTATCTCTCTTCACTGGGCATGAACTCTCCCTTTTTACAATGGTGGAGAGGCCTTTATATAGTAAGCTCCCCTCCGTCCGACTTGAAGGACATTAATTGTCATCTTCAAGGCTGATTATAATTACTAAGCCGTTGGGCGACGTTACTGGACCGGCCAACGACTCTATGGACTCATAACAGCTTGCTTGACCGAGTCCTGCTTTGAATGCCTCCAACGGCTCCTGGACCGACTTAAAGGCTACGCTGGAACGCTCTTCAACGGCTCTTTGGGCCGAGTCTTCTTAAATGTGACTCTTGAATGCTTCTTATCGGCTCAGGGCCGGGTTTCTCTCTATTTCTGGACCTGGGTCGACTCCTGGACTCGGCCCAAGCCTTCCCTGGGCTTCTTTCGCCACTGGCCCACACCTTCTGCCTTGGACTTCTCTCTTGGGCCCATCTTCTTGGGCCGGGGTCCTCGCCCCATCAGCACACATTACATCTGTCCTCACAGTCCTCTATAATATACTTGACAATATGGCAAATCCTGATGAGGTGATCTGGTATTCCTTCTAAGGCAATTTTTGACAATATGTCGGCCTCGATGTTGTCCGCCCGGGAGATGTACTCTATTTCATACGTTTCGAATTCCTTTAGCATCTCTGTCGCCTTCTCCTTATACTGGGCCATCCGGACATTCTTAGCTTCACAGGTGCGGGAGATTTGTCCGACCACTAACCAGGAATCGGTTTTGATTCGCAATCGTTCCACCCCCAGCGTTTTGGCGAGTCGAAGGCCGCCCAACACAGCCTCGTACTCGGCTTCGTTATTGGATGTTGGAAATAAATAGCTCAGGGCGTAGTAGAGCCGGAATCCTTCTGGAGTGATTAGCATGACTCCGCCTCCACAGTGTTGTCGGCTTGCCGCTCCATCCGCGTGCATCTCCCACCATTCGCCTGAGCTATCTTCCATGGTGCGCTCTTTCTCTCCTTCCCTTACCGTACACTCGACCAAGAAATTGGCCAAGGCTTGCCCTTTTATGGACGGTCGCGGTTGATACTCGATCCCGTACTGGGTTAATTCCACGACCCATTTCACCAGTCGACCTGATGACGTGGGGTTCCGCAGTACGCTCCCTAGCGGCTGGTCGGTCAGTACCCGGACGGTATGGACTTGGAAATAGGGCGCTAGCTTGCGCACGGTGATTACTAGCGCGTAGACAATTTTTCCAAGGCCGTGTACTGTGTCTCGGCGGCCTTCAAGGAGCGGCTTACGTAATATACCGGGTGCTGGGTACGCTCTTCTTCCCGGACCAGTACCGAGCTTACCGCCTTGGGGGAGGCGGCTAAGTACAAAAACAAAGGCTCACCCACCTGGGGGGTGGACAACACCGGAGGTGTGGAAATATACTGCTTCAGTTCTTCGAACGATTGTTGGCACTTGGTCGTCCAGGCAAAGCCTTCCTTTTTCTTCATGGCCTCGAAGAATGGTATAGTTTTATCCGCCGCCTTGCTCAAGAAGCGACTGAGGGCAGCCAGTCGACCAGTTAACCGTTGTAAGTCTTTGACGGTGCTGGGAGGCTGCATGTCGATGATGGCCTGGACTTTCTCAGGGTTGGGCTCGATGCCTCGTTTGGTCACCATGTTTCCTAAGAACTTCCCTCATTGCACCGCGAAGGCACATTTTTTCGGGTTCAGTCGGAGATTATACCTTAGCATCACCTGGAAGCAGTCGGCCAGATCTTCCGCGTGTTTGATCTCTTCCCGGCTTTTGACTAGCATATTGTCTACGTAGGCTGCCATGGATTTCCCCAGCAGGTCTTGAAACAGTCGGGCGACCATCCGCGTGTAAGTAGCCCCGGCATTCTTAAGCCCGAAGGGCATAACTCGGTAACAATATACCCCGTCCGGTGTTAGAAACGCGGTCTTCTCCTCATCAGCCGGGTGCATGAAGATCTGATGATACCCCGTGAAGGCGTCCATGAAGCTCAGCAGAGCCGACCCTGCGGTCTCGTCGACCAGCTGATCGATCCGCAGCAAGGGGAACGGATCCTTTGGGCAGGCTTTGTTGAGATCAGTGTAATCCACGCACATCCGCCAAGCTGGGGGCTTTGGTACGAGGACCACGTTTGCCAACCACTCCGGGTATTTAACTTCTCGGATGTGGCCCGCGGCCAGCAGCGTGTTCACCTCCTTCTTTACAAATTCACTCCTGTCGTTGGCGAGATACCGTTTCTTCTGTACGACCGGCCGGTGGTTTGGGTCCACGGCGAGTCGGTGGGCGATGATGGATCGGTCAGCACCGGGCATGTCCTCCGGACCCCAAGCAAAAACCAGTCAGTGCTCTCGGAGTACTCTGATGACTTCCTCTCGTATTCCTTCAGGGAGACCGACCCCAATTCGGACCCGCCTGTCCGGCTGCTCAGGATCGATCTCAACCTCTTCCAATTCCACGGCCGGCTCCGGGCGGGGTATCATCGCTTTCTTTGGGGGCCTCTCCGTGATTTCGTGGACTTGCATTTCGCGCTTGCCCATCCCCTTGCAGGCCTGTAGATAGCAGTCGCGGGCGACTCTTCTATCACAACGCACCGTGCCTATCCCACTCGGTGTGCGAAATTTCAGACAGAGGTGCTCAATGGAGATCAGTGCTCCTAGATCCTCCAGGCCTGGTCGGCCGAGTATGGCGTTGTGTGAGCAGGCTAAGTCCACCATGATGAACTTCATGCTAAGCTTCTGTACGTCGGGATAGCTACCAACCTCCACTGGTAAGGTAATGGATCCCTCTGCCTCCACCGAGTCTCCTGTGAAACCGGCGAGTGGTGTCTTAACTGGATTCAGCTGTTCTCGGGTTAGTCCCATCTTTGTGAAAGCCTCGAGGTACAGCACGTTGACACTGCTCCCGGTGTCAACCAGGATTCGTCGAACGACTACCCCATTTACGTCCATCGCTATGACCAGGGCATCTCGATGCGGTGTCTCTCCCGTGGGTAGGTCTTTGTCAGTGAACGTGATGGGCTCCCGACACACCTTCTTCGAGCCCTCTTCGCGCCCATATACTGTCCCGACATACAACTGTCGAGCCCAGGCCTTTCTGGTGTTCGCTGAGTCGCCTCCTTCTGGTCCGCCGACTATCATGTTGATAACCGGCTTCTGACGCCACTGGGCATCATCTTCTTCAGTCGCCGGCTGCTTGCCGCGACTACGCTCGGCGGCGACTGCGGGATCACTGTCCTCCCGTGCCGCCGACCTGCGCCTCCACTGATTAGGAGGCGGGGTCCCTTGTTGGATGATTCCCTCCATGATCTTTTTCAAATATAAGCACTCTTCCGTGCTGTGAGTGTAGGATTTGTGGTAGCGGCAATATTTAGAGGTCTTACCTGTCTCTTAGTTCATTGCGCAATCGTCAGTCGGCGGAGGTGCAGGCGGAGCGACTGCTTGTACCTCATGCACTGGACGCTCAGGAACCGATCTATAGGGATGTACGGCGGGCCTATCATATGGACGTCTACCCTCGGGCTGCCGAGTCATTTTCGGACGCCTTTCCCTGCCTTCCGCTCGGGTTCTCTTTCCGCTGGCGAATCCTCCGACTTCGCACTGTCGTTTGTGCTTCATGGCCTGCTCTGTGTTAGCCCTCTTATTAGCCATGTGTATGGCTTCCGCGTAGGTGGCCGGGCGGTTATCCCGCAGGTCCCGGTATAGCTGACCGGATCGCAAGGACTCGATGAAGAAGGTGAGCGTAGTCTGGTCCTCGACCTCTTCGATAGATTGAATTTCTTTCTGCCAGCGGGCCAGGTAGGTTTTCAAGGACTCACCTTCTTCTTGATGGACGTCTCCCAAATGCGTTAGATCCTTCTGTGGTTTGATATTGGCCGCGTAATGGCTCATGAAATGATCGGCTAGCTCTTCAAAACTGTGAATAGACCCCGGAGGCAGTGCCACCAGCCATCTTTGTGCCGAGCCTTTTAACGTAGGTAAGAAGGCACGACACATGACAGGGTCCCGGACTCCCAGAACTTGCATTTTGGCTTGGTAGCTTAGCAGATGTTCTCGAGGATCGCCGGACCCATCAAAGGTGGCCTGTTCTGGAAACTTGAAATCACCAGGTATCTTGTATGTCATGATCTCGGTCGAGAAGGGTAAGGCGGTTAACAGCGTTCGACCGGTGGATTTGGTTTTGCCTTCCACCTGCACTCTTAGGTTCCGTACTTCCTGGGCTAGGTGCGCCACTTCGCCCCTGTCGCGAGTATGGTTTCCTGTCGATTCAGTGTTTTCACCGACTTCTGATTCAACCGGTCGATCACCATTGTGGACAGGTCACTCGGTTCGGCGTGCCCGAGTCCTCGTTCTTCGGGTGCGAGTTCTCTTGCCGACTGTCGTCCGGTGTTTGGGCCTAGCCTGGAGTGGACGGATTGTACAGGCTGACTTTCCGCCCGTCGGTTTTCTCGTCCGTCTTCCGGCCTCGGAGACGGTTGCTGGTTGCGGGGTAGTGGTCGAGAGACGGACTGCTCCATCACTTCCCGACTCGCGTCGGCGAAGGCTCGCCCGATCGCATGGAGTTGCTCCGGGGTGAGAGGTACCATAGGCGGCTGTCGGTTCGCCGGTGCTGTTTCGTTCTCCCGGCTTTGGGCGTTTCCCCGGTTCAACTGCTCTCTCAAATCTGCCTCCAATCCGTTATCGTGGTTATTCACTTGTCCTTGTTCCTCTGCCATGCTGGAATGCTCTCTTGATCGCCTTGCGGATTTGGGTTTTTTTCAATCGTCTCGCGGACTCGTCTCGCTCAGAGAGCTACACAGCTCTTTGTTTTGATCCCCACAGACGGCGCCAGTGTTGGTTTTAGGGTTTTTGGGCCCAGGGAGGTCCAACACAACCTTAGTTGGTGGATTCACCTTTCACAAGAACTGTGAGTAAAGGAAAAGTAATCGAAATGGTTAAAAATGTGTATCTCTCTTCACTGGGCATGAACTCGCCCTTTTTACAATGGTGGAGTGGCCTTTATATAGTAGGCTCCCCTCCGTCCGACTTGAAGGACATTAATTGTCATCATCAAGGCTGATTACAATTACTAAGCCGTTGGGCGACGTTACTGGACCGGCCAACGGCTCTATGGACTCATAATAGCTTGCTTGACCGAGTCCTGCTTTGAATGCCTCCAACGGCTCCTGGACCGACTTAAAGACTACGCTGGAACGCTCTTCAACGGCTCTTTGGGCCGAGTCTTCTTAAATGTGACTCTTGAATGCTTCTTATCGGCTCTGGACCTGGGCCGACTCCTGGACTCGGCCCAAGCCTTCCCTGGGCTTCTTTCGCCACTGGCCCACACCTTCTGCCTTGGACTTCTCTCTTGGGCCCATCTTCTTGGGCTGGGGTCCTCGCCCCATCAGCACACATTACATCTGTCCTCACAGTCCTCTATAATATACTTGTCCTCATTTGAACACACACACACACACACACACACACACACACACACACACACACACACACACACACATATATATATATATATATATATATATATATATATATATATATATATATATATATATATATATATATATGATCAAGTAAGAACAAGGTGTTAGTTGAGAATGTGTAGTGATCTTTTGTTAGCCCTTGATTTTGGGCGAACTAAGGGTTGAAATTTACTGTGCAATATGTCTAATTTTTTGCATTGTGTTATATGTCTAGTTGTTTACACTGTGCAATTAATAAAATGCATGGATCTAATATATCTTAGTCATTCAAAATCAAACATTCAATGGTGTGAATTTGGTCATACATTCTCACCTAACACTTTGTTATCACCAACCATATATAAAAATTCAACGAATCCAATGCAATTTGAGAAAAAAAAAAAGGTGGAAATCTAGTATTTTTTGAACCCCGATACTATAATTTTTAACAGTACACTTTTAAAGTTAAAGAAAATTATTAAAATACAACTACAATTTTATGATCGAATATAATTAATTAATTTAGGTGGCCCAAATTAACAAAAACCAATATCTGAGGACTAAATAATAAAATACAAGGTATGAAGCTTGAAGCACAAAAGCCTCGTATTAATGATTTGTGTAGTGTGATTACAATGTAGATTGTGATGCCTTAATAAAGACAAAGGGAAAATATATATGATAAGCTTAACTCGTAACCGTCCTTGAGAAAAGGGCGGGCAGTTTGAGGCTGAGCCCTGAGCTCAGCCTCAGGGGTCAGCCTTCAGTGCACGAGGCCGCAACTACTGGGGTCGGCCTCGGGACTAACCTTTGAGGTTACTCGGGTTGACTTAACCCGTCTCCTCGTGTCGGTTTGCCTCAAACCCGTTACCAGTAAATTCATAATCAGCCCCCACTCTCCGAGTTGCAAGTAATCCTCAGCGAGAGTGAGAAGCTTCTTGAGTTACGATCTATTTCGACCATACTGGAATGGTCGAGGTAACAAGGTGCTCGCCCACGGTCCGACAACCCCCAGAGGCATAAACTTGATCTTTTGCTTTATGTTGTTGGTTCCTTTGTTGAACTTGAATGGCACCCTGCTTGATTGATTAATTGCCTTCATTTTGGTTCACCTTTATGTTTTTCCAATTGCACATGCTCTTTGGTTGTGTGTTGCTCTCTTGATTGTCGGCTTGAGTGTCATGTTACCTTGCTAAGGACCCCTTTGGGTTGTGTTTTTGTTTCCGCTTGATGACTGAACTCGGGGCTGCTCTTAGACCCCCTATGAGGTCGGTCGATGATTAACTTGGCCTAAACTAATGTGGAATGGCCCCGAGAGCTGGTCCTTAGTTGATCGTTCTCGCCTTGACCACGTCCTTTCATATCATAATGTCTCATGGGTTGAGGTTAGAGATCCTTTTACCAATGAGATGTGTCTAGTTGACAACCTTGGACCCCTGGTGCTTGGCTCCGCCTAAGGCATTGTCGAGGCTGGTTGGTCCCCAAGCATGGGATATTGAATTTTCCTTTGTTGTTTTTGTTCATTCTTGCTTCATTCACTTAGCGATTGGGCTCGTGCATATCAGGTTTGATTCATCGTTTCTCCTGTCGAGCCCACCTCTTGATAATCTTAGTGGTCGACCTCCACGTGGGCCCCGTGGTCGGTCTTGACCCTTGTTGGGCTTAGTTGGTGCTCGGTCTCGCCTTGAGCATCAAGGATAGCTTTGGGCCTCCTTGAGCTCGACCGAGCTCATATGGAAGGGCCTCGGTTTGCCTCGGCACAAGAATGCTTCATGGTGAGCTCCCCCTACTCCAAGTAATGGGGCATCTTCATCCGTCAGTTTTGTTTTTTTTTTTTTTTCTTTTTATCGTCAAAGGAGGTCGGACCTCTTCTACTTTCTTAAGAGATCATGGCATGGCCTCAATTGAAGCCTAGGGAGTTAAAGCAAGTGTGCTGTGTTCAACTTGAGTTCTCTCTCGAGCACCACCAAGGATTTCCTTTGGCTTAGTTCATCGAATCCTCACATGGTGTTTTTCTTGGGCGCAACTTGAAGGTGGCTCATGTGCTAAGCTCTCGATTTTCCACCTTGACTGACCTCGGGGTCGATCGTTGCTCAGCTTGGCCTCATGCCTCGAGGTCTTGGTTGATTCTTGCCTCCTCGATCGTTTCTCTTGATTTTGGGATGCCTCATGGATTGAGGTTGGGGCTTCTCTCGCCTACAAGGACTTTGGGATGCCTCATCGCCTTGTCAATGCCCTACCCATCTTCTCGAGTCAGTTTATCCTGAATCCATTCCCAATATATTCATTAATGTTTCTCACTCTAAAACAGTTAGATGTGACCAGATAGACAATTAAAATTAAATTTGTTCTAAATTTTCTTTTAGAACAAGTTTCTACATGATATTCTTCACACACACACACACACACACACACACACACACACGCACACACGCACACACACATATATTAGAGATCATATGAGAACCAACCTACCCATGAGTCCATGAGAACTAATTTGGTGCATTAAAATAATATATTCTTTGGATGAGATTAATTGGGGGAATTTAAAACGCGTATGTGCATATGAAGCATTATGATGTGTGCATATTAAGCATGTCCCTATGTAGCACACACCACATACTTAATATGCACACAACATAATACTCCATATGCACATGCGTGTTTTGAATTCTCTTAATTAATCTCATCTATAGATTTATAATTTTGATGCACCAAATTGGTTTTCATGGACTCATGGGTGGTTCTCATAGGAACACGTTAGAGCATGTAGACTTCTTCAGTAATGCACAATAAGTTCTAAATGAATGCACAATAACTACTCTAGCTCCGTGACTACTACATGAATGCACTATGCATTCTTGTAGTAATTTCCGTGCATTCATGTAGTAGATGTAGTGCATTCATGTAGTAGATGTAGTGCATTCATGTAGTATTCACGGACTTATATATATTGGTTTGTGGGCAACACTTTTACTTTTTGGTTTTGATCGACACAAGTCATATTGTTATACCATGGACCAGGGTATACCTTGTATTGTGAACCGTGGTTCAAAAATTATGTATCTGTCAATAAAATATTATGTGCCTTCAATTAACAAATTATATTTCTATAAACAATTTGAAAGCACATGATACGTTAACTACATACATATAATATGTCAACTGCAATCATATAATATGCTAACTGCATAAAAATAATATGCGGATAACATATTTTGTCCATATAATTAATATATTATAGGCATGAATTTAAAATAATATGTGCTTTTAATTTTTTTTTATATATACATAATGTATTAAATGTATACAGATATTATGTTACCTAAAGACTTAAATATTATTTTGAACCAGGGTCCACCATGTGAGGTGGACCTTGGTACATGGTATAATCTGCAACTCAAGTCCTCGCAGGCCTGGAGACGAGAATGCTAGTTCACTAAAGCCAAAGTAATCTGACACTGCAGGCATCTTTATGCAGCTCAGTTTTGGCCTGCCAACGGAATCACAGATTCACTGAGAATCCAATTAATCTTCTTTGAATTGGCATGTATGCGAAGCGCTGGTACTGCTAGAAGTAGGTATGTCTCTCGATTCCCTAATATCCCCCTCGCTTTACAGTTACTCTATGCTTTTAACAAGTCTATAATTCTTTATATATATATATATATATATATATATATATATATATATATATATATATATATATATATATTGGAGCAGTTGAAAACTTTATTTAATCATTTTTCCTTTACAATATTTAGTGTGTTGAACGGAACTACTATAAATCTAGCTATAATCTCCTTCGGAATTCTCAGTGGGTACAGATAGCTAGGACCAAAAGCAACTCCCTGGACGGAACTTTTCTTGCTAGCTCAAGTTTAAGAAAACTGTAATAAAACAAATTAATTAAGTGAGAGAATTTTAAATTTAATTACCATTCTATAATTTCTTTTAGAAGTATTGAGGATTGACTGGATTGTGTCGTGCTACTATCATATTTAACATTCATTATCAAATTTGGTTACCTACTTCTATAGTTCTACTATTGAATTCAAATTATTTAATTAGTAATCATAAATTCAATTACAATTCTCTTTCCCTACTTTTAAATAATGGAATCAAAATGAGGAAGGAAAAAAAAGTCATTGTTTATATATTCAATATGAAATTATATATATATATATATATATATATATATATATATATATATATATATATATATATATATATATACTAGAGATCAAATGCAAAGGAGGTGTCTAGGTAAAACATGAGATTAATCATATAGTCATTGATCTTGCCAAAATTAAACGACCAAAATGAATATAAATTAAAAAAACATGGTGGCATTATAGTAATTTTGCGTATTGTTGAAAGCTTAAGGTGTATCATTTTAACACTTAAGGTGCGTCATTTTAACACTTGCGTATTGTTGAAAGCTTAAGGTGCGTATAAGAACGAGGCAGGTTTAATAAAGGGATCAATAGGGTGACCGAGTAATATCACTTAGGAGTTTGGAAAGAGGTTTGCGGTGTAGATAGGTCAACCAGGCAAAGAATAGCGATTATAAGCAAGGGTCGAGTGGCAAGGGTATGAAATGGTGGCCTGATCTCCAAGATTAGTCAAGTACTAACGTTGGTCACCTTGTACGAGATCACTCGACTCGGGACAGTTTGAGAAAAGATGGCTAGCTGACTTGTAAAAGTTGGGAGGAAAAAATAATCATCATGTCCAAATAGCTGGTCGCGTGGGGTCTGACTAAGTTAGACTGCGCAAGGAAGTCGAATCATGGTCAGCTGGAAGAACGAGTGATATTACTTATTGGCACCAAGGGAGTTAAAAGAAGATATAAGGAAGCTACTCGGAGTCAGTATGGTCAGAGGAAGTTCGAAGACTCGAGAGGGCTCGCTTGGGCCGTGTCAATTAGGTAGGCTTGGTCGGTAAGGCTGTGATAGTTCGAGTGATAATACTTAGCGATTGTAAGGTGAATAAAGAAAATGGGTCAAGGGAGTAATTCAGAGTCAATCTAGTCGGTGAAGTCAGTCGAGTTGTTTATGAGTTAGTGCGAGATAAGCAAAAAGGAAAGTACTTCATTGAAAATTCAAAAAGCCCTATCGCTATTACAAGAGGGAAAGGGTGAATACAAAAAAGTAAATAGAATAGTCTGGTTAGTAGTCGGACTAAGGGACTCCGGTCGTCCCACCCTCCGTTGGTCCAGTGAGTGGGTTGAGATCAGTAGACCCACGCCGCGGTCGGTTCAATTGGAGTGCAACAGACTGATCTTCTTCCTTGTCCGAGTCAACTGTTGCTTTTTGGCTCACACTCGGTACGGGAGGAACCGGGGCGCGGTCCATTCTTGCTAAGTTAGTAAGGTTTGCAGTCAAGTCGAGGTATGTTGGGTCCATTATATTGGGATCTCGATGCCACCTATACTCCTTGAGGCGACTCTTTCAATTACCTCAGCCCCCTATTGATGTGCGGGGGTAACGTGTACGTTCGGCCTCTGTTCGAAGTTGGGCAGCCAAGCAGGAAGACCCCTTACCTCCATTCGAAGTCGGGTAGCCAAGCAAGAAGACCCTTGCCTCGGAGGAGAAAGCCGGATCTTGAACTCAGATGATGCTATAAATCTCCTTTTGCTGATCTTCAGCACCCGTGTGATTGTCTTTCTCCCCGATGTCGGTCTAGACCTGCTTAACCTCAAGAGTCGCCAACCACTCATTAGCCAGCTTCTTAAGGTGTTGCTGGGCTACAGCCATAACGCCCGCCTGAAAGACGGCCGGCCCTTTGTACTCCTATAGGGCAGCCTGGCAAGCAGTCGCCACCTTGAACATCAAATGCTCGACGGTTTTTCGCTCAGCGTCCAAGGTAGACTCCTGGTTGCTAATCTTCAGGTTCAGCCCATCGAAGTCATTGGCATGGTCGGCCTTGACTGTCTACAAAGTCTTAGAGTCGGCCTAGAGAGTACAAAACAAATAAAGGGAGGTCAAGGATAAAGGCTTACCTAGTAAGTGTGGTAAGCGACCGATTGTAGTAGGCGGTCGGCAGGGGCCTCCTCCATAGCCCTGAGGTCCTTTGGAAAGACGACCGTTTCTATCTAATCAAAGAATGGAAACTTCTCCTTGACGATCATGTCGTTGGAAATAGCATCCATGCCAAGCCGGATCTTCTTAGCGGCGAGGGTGTTGATGGAATCCGTAGGACACTTGGAGCCTGAAGAGGGGCGGGATGGGCATGAAGTCCGGGTGGCAGCAGCAGGCGCTCCTCCGCTGGCCAGGGGAGTGTTGGAATGAGTAGTCGGAGCTGGCGGAGTTGAGCTAGGACCAACCGGTCTCTTCCCCTTGTAGGCTGAAGAAGAGACCCGGGACTTGAAGCAAGCTTGATGCGCGGTGCGGCGGTCGGCCATATTAGCAGTCGTTTGCTACATCGTTATCGTCCAAGGGCTCTTCGGAGTCACCGTAACCTGGGAAAAGGTACAAATTAATTAACTTTTATGTAAAGGTAAAAGTAGGAAGAGTGGCAACCTGTGGTCGACGCACCCTCGGGCAAGAGGCTAGCTTGGTTGAATGCCCTCAAGCGTGACTAGTGAGTGCCCCGAGACCGAGTCGATGCTAATCAAAAGAGCGAGGTCGTTGGTCATTTCTTCGTTGTAATCCAGCTTCTTACTTAGCCGGAAGTAAGAAAGACGCCAAAAAGCGGGGAAAGTGAAAGGTTTGTGAAGAGCAACCGGTCAAATGAAGAAAAAACCCTTCTTCCAACATTTGTGTGAGTCATGCAATCCGTCTAGGAAATAGATGCCGTTCCACTGGGAAATTTGAAGGAAACCATAGGCCGTCTTGCCTACCCAGGTAACATGGAAAAGCTGGTGGAAGAGAAATAGAGATTGGGGTAGACCGAGTGACTCACACACGGTCAGAAAGAAGGTTAGAGGGCGATGGGAGTTGGGGACTAGTTGACCGGGTAGGACGCCAAAGTAGCGAAAGAAAAAGGTCAAGAAGGAATGAAGGGGAACTCGGAATCCATACCGAATTTACTGGTAATGGATCCATATGTAGCCGCTGGGCGGGGAGGGGGTTGAAAATGTAGTAGTTCCCCGTGGCAAGGATAGTAGGAGGAGGACCTAGTTGGTCTTTCCTCCTTGAGAAAGGAGTAGACACTTAGTTGGTCTTTCCTCCTTGAAAAAGAAGTCGACACTTGGTCAACGTTGTTAACTTAAAAAGTTCTTGTCAAAGTTGTTTGCAAAAAGGATTACCAGTTGTAAAGGAAGATTAAAGGTTGAAGAAGATAAATAACTCAAAACCTAGAATGATTAGGATTATGAGCGCTCTCCCAAATGAATAAGGAGTAATGGTTATAAATATTGTCTACTCTCCGTCACAAGACCTCACGCATTCTTCAAGCCTATTCTGTGAGGTGTAAGAGTCTTTTGAGAGTGATCTAAATTCAATTAGAAAGTAGTACATGTGTTTAGGTTACAATAGTTTGGTAGGAAAGATCATTCTATTGTGCAATCTCAGGTTTCAAAACTATGTATTTTGAATATTATGCTTTTAGTGGATTTAGGCAAATTCTCAATTGAGAAGTGCCTCGCAGACTAGGGTTCTTTCCCGAACTGCGTTACCAACTCATTGTGTTATAACTGCTATTCTAACATCCATGTGTGCTGCTTTTAAAAGTTTCAATTGGTATCAGAGCCAAATTGGTTAAGTTACTAGTAGGATCTTAATGGAGTTTCCAAGAGAAGGACTATCAAACAACAGGCCACCTGCCCTAATTGGTACAAATTTCTCCTACTGGAAAGCCAGGATGAAAATCTATATATTAGCAAAAGGTCAAGGTGTCTTGGGAGCAATTAAGAATAAATGGAAAAATCCAGTTGATGACAAAGGAAATCTAAAACCACGTACAACCTGGAGTGTAGAGGAAATCAAGGAATATGATTTTAACTCGAAAGCCATGAACGCTATCTTTGGAGCCGTAAGTGAAGAAACCTTCAAGTTATTTGACTCTACTAGAATAGCAAAGATAGCATGGGATATTCTATGTGATCATCACGAAGGAAACTTCACTGTCAAGCAATCCAAGTTGCAAATGATACAAACTCAGTTTGAAAACTTAAAGATGGAAGAGGAAGAAAACATCACCTAATTTAATGCAAGGGTATTAGGGATTGCCGGAGATGCTTTTAACCTAGGGGAACCTGTTCACGAATCTAGGTTAGTGAAAAAGGTATTACGGTTACTACCTAAAAGGTTCATGATGAAAGTTACAGCCATTCAAGAAAGTAAAGATCTAAATACCTGCAAACTCAGTGATCTAATGGGAAATCTTCAAACATGCGAACTTGAGATGCTGCAGAACAAGAAAAACAATGGCAAAGGAATAGCATTCCAATCAAAACAGGAGGAACACTCATATTTTGATACTGGAAACATGGAACAGTCTATTGCACTCTTAACCAAAAATTTCAATAGAGTTCTCAAGAAGTTTAACACATTTAGAAATAATAACAAAAATCCCGGATAGAAGCCATGCAGGAGGAGCTGCAACACTTTGAAAGGAATAAAGTATGGGAATTAGT